CCTTTATCAGTAATAACAAGCTCTAATAAGTTAAGCACAGAATAACATTTAAGGAAAATATGAGTTTTAACAACCAACTGAATTAGGGATCTATGCAGCATCTCTAGGTCCTTGCCAAGAAAAGACAACATAGGATCATCTGTTTGATATTTTTTACATATTTTCTGGCTGCAAAAAGTGTGATATAGTAGAAAAATAAAAGCTTTTGTACTAAAAGACATCTGTAACTCGGTTTTTTTACAACCAAACAGCTCTTTGACGATGGCTTTTTATAAGATAATAGGTTCTGCTGGAAATTAATTATCTTTATTATATTTGGCTATATTTCTTTGATGACAATGTTTACAAATGAACTCAAACCAGCTTCGTCTCTTTCCAATTGAATTTTCCTGAGAACCTTCTAGTTCACATTAGAACCATGCTAGTTGTACTTGTTTAGATAAATCCAAACCAGATAAACCATTTGAATAACTTTGTTCAAACTTTCAACATAACAAACAGCCAGTCTGATAACAACAGTCTGATGCACAGACTTGTATTTTTTAAAAGTCCATGTAGTAAGGTGCAATTCCATAACTAACATTGAATTTGTTTTTGCCAAGTTAAAATATTTGGCACAAAAAAAGAATTAAAAATGCGAATGCTTTAAAAAATTGAAATAAATGTTAAAAATAAGATTTCTTATTTTAAATAATTGTAAATATTTAGCATTAATGTTTGCAATTATTTAAAATAATAATTTAAAAAAGAACTTTTTTATAATTTTCAACGAACATTAGGTAGTAGATTATTAAAACTTATATATAAAAAGAAAATTTTAAAAACATTAAACACTTAAAATAATTTATATATAAAATGATTGAACTTAAACATAATCAAGATTTTACATTTCAAGATTTCATTGACAAATCCTAAAAAACATTTACAATTTATTACAATCCAAGGTAAAAAAAAAAAAAAAAAAAAAAAAAAAATTTAGAACTAGAAATGTTTTATTTTTCTCTGAGTCACTAAGAAAAAAAGCAACTGTTTTCCCTGACCACTAAGTAAATTCCCTGATTTTTACTAAACCAGTTAAATAAGACACTTTTGCTTTGACTTTCTATAAATATGATTGTTATTTTATGTTTAGCATGGTTAAAACAGAACACAAATTTAGCTCAGCCAGTGTAACCACTAGTTAAAAATGAGGGCAAAAATAAGGATTTCAATTAAATTTAAAGAATAATTTTAATTTGTCATGAAATTTAATTTAAAACAGCAAAAAATTTCATAAAAAAAAAACAAAAAACATTCTATACAGAATCTTTTTTAACTAAACAACATAACACCAAAATGATATTAGATATATAGCATATGCCTTATATCAGTTTGGACATATTTTTCAATGGGAACACTCTCTTCTATAAAATGTTTACTTCACATGCAGTAAATTAAAAAGCTATTGTAAAAAACATTTAAAAAAAAATTATTTAACATTGCAAACTTTCAACATTTTTTCCATTTCTAAATTGAAAGTTACAACATAATGCACTCTGTGAAACATTTTGCTCTATTATTCTTGCATTTGCATATATGGCCAATAATATTGTTTTGAAAGTATACTTTAGTTTTTTGTATGAAATTTATAAATTAATATAATGAAAATTCATTCAAAAAAACCATTTTGTATGTTGTATACGAGATAATATACTTGATAACCTGGTAAATATAGCTTTGTTTGTTTGTTTAAAAATAGCTGCGCAGCAAATTGATGCACAACCAAACACTGCTGAAGCTTTAAATCTGAATTTTCATTATATTAATTTATAAATTTCATACAAAAAACTAAAGTATACTTTCAAAACTCGGTACATATTTGATTAAAATAGATAGTTGCATTTCAGTAAATAAATTTATTTCAAGAGCAATGTTCTAAATTTATATTCTAAACTTGGTAAACGTTTATAATACACTTATAATAGGCACTTTAACATCTGAGCGTGTAATATCGATAATCGATAAAACACGGCTAAAGAAAAAAGATCTGAGGTTTTATGCCGACAAAAAAGTTTGAGTTGTATGTTCTTCAATCGTGCATACGATGACTTAAAATACAAAAACTTATTACTTGTTTATTCCAAAAAGTAGAGCCACAGCTTAATAACAGTACCAAAAATATTTTATTAAGGTTTTCGTTTTTAGAGATAATTTAAATCAAAAACTAAGGTCATTTTATAACCCAAATATTTTTGAAGGCATTTAGTGTTTTTTTGATTTAATAAAAAAATCAACTATACCATTATATTAAGCTAATAATGTGCATGTTTTTAAATGGTAAGCGTAGATCACACAAAAAATATGCCTCCCACCAAAAAGTAAACTTTAAAAAATTTTTTTATTTAGCACTGGTCAATTTTTAAGACTCAACTCATCAATTTTCAAGACGGAAATTAAGTTTTTAAAACCAGTTTATTATTTTGGAAAACCTATTTTGCATTACCATTAAATAAATTTTTTTTAAAAAAGTACTGTCACAGATTTATTATGTCAAATGTGGGATGTTTCCTATTCATTAAAAGTCCATTTACTATAGTTTTTATTGGTATTATATTCTTAGTTTTGAATAGTAACGGTCTTGTTTATTATTACTTTGGAAACGTTGTCGCGATTCTTAAAAACGTTAAGTCGCTAAAAACCTCAAAAGTCATACAAATCTTAAATTTTGTGGTTTAAAAGTTCAATAAGTTTTTAATTAATAATAATATAACAATATGTTTGTTATTTTTTAACTGATCATGTTTAGCTCTAACTTACGGAGTTTGTTTTGTTTTCATTTTACATTTAAAAAAGAAAATGTTGAAGTGCCTACTTATAATTATATAAAAAAAAAAAGATTGAAAAGAAATAAGTATATTCTTATTTCAGCATCATATATTTTACAAAAAAAAAGGTTAAGAAAAACTTCATACCTAATAAATGCTCAAAATTTAGAGAAGAATTATCTTCACTCATTTTAATCTAAAGAGTATTACAAAAATTTGTCAAGCGAAGCTCGTTTTAGTATAGTTCGGAGGGTTCTGTTCCAGAATTCAAAATAAGATATTGGTTAGCGGTCGTTCGTATAATTCAGAATAAGGTGCACTTAAAGCGCATGCGTATCAACCGTCAAAAGTATTCTAGGTCTGCGATTTTTGTAAAATTCAAAATCTTATTTTGAATTATACGAAAGACCTTTAGCCTAATGTTGTTACCTTTGGCTTATCTTTACGTTGGTGTCAGCTGTTAAAAATGATTAATAGGTAGTTTCATTACTAGAACTCACTGCTTCTATTTATTTACTAAAATTCATTCAAGACCATTTCGCTATAAATACATTTTGTTTATCATGAAAAAAAATATTTAGCAAATACTACTCAGGTATCACAACAGCTTATCTCTATCAGGTACATTTATTTTCGATTCATATATGATGTTTTTCTTTGTATTTACTTATTCGTTACATTTTTAACTTCAGATTTATAGTGGTTTTATTTGCTATAGAAGAACAAATCATTTTGAATTTTTAAAAAATATCTACTCCAGTCAACATTCAAAGTTCAATGTTACATATACCAATTTAGTAGTAGCTTCTAGGCTTTTTTGATGCTTTTCTTATTCAAGTGGTTTTATAAGCAAGGTCTGCAAGCAAATTTGAGCTGAAAAGTTTTTCAGCTTTCAGAGAGAATCAATGTTCTCTGTTTAATTCAATTTGTTTAAATAGAGTAGTTTTAATAAATCAATGTTTGTCTGTTCATGGTTTTTTACATATTTGTTTTCAGATTCTTAAGAAATAGGCAACTTAGCAAAGCAAGATTTATTTTATCTTTTAGTGCAATTGGAAAGAGCTAAAGTGCTTTTTAGTCACTTCAAATCATTTGCTTCTTTTTTTAAATAGAAGGGTTAATACCCAGACAGCAAGCTTACATTGGCCCAATGTAAGTTTTAACATTGGCAAGTTTATTCTGTTGGGCCAACTTTTAGCCAATGTTTTTTTTCGGCGTATTATTTTCAATTTTGCAAGTCGGTTTTTTGCAAATATCGTACAATATTGGGCCAACATTTAGCCAATGTTTTTTTTTCGGCATAATATTGCATTTCTACAAATCGGTTTTTTGCAACTATCGTACTACGTTGGGCCAATATTTGGCCAATGTAGTTTAGGCTTAATATTTTGCCATAAAACATTTTACCGTAGCCAATATTCGGCCAATGTAGTTTCGGATTAGTATCAATGATGTAAATAAATAACTTAGTAAATTATTTATTTACGTCATTGATTAGTATATACTTTTAAATTGTTTCAAAACATTTTTTAAAAATGGTATCGTTTGACAGAATAAAAAAAGGTTTTGATACTATTATATTCTTTCCATTTAATTAAATTATAAAAATAAAAAAAGAAGCTATATTTATTAATCTTCTAAGAATCTTAAAAGGTTTCTTATAAGAAGTAAACTTCAAGAGATTCTCGTGACTTAATGTTTTGTTTTTTTAAATGAAATATTTGTTAACATTTAAATAATATGCTTAAAACATTTTTTACTACAATCTAAATTATTAATGTAATAATAAAGGCAATAATCAAATTATTTTTGTGTAAGATCTTAAAGTTATTTTTTTATTTTTATTGCTTTATTGGCATTTCAAATGTTTGTTTTATTTAATAATCTTTATTAAATTTAATTTATTAAATTTTATTATTATTTTATAAAATTTATTATTATTATTTATAAATAAATAAAACATTTCAAATGTTAGATTTATTTAATAAAGGAGACTTTTTAAATGTCTTCTTTATTAAATAAATCAAACATTTAAAATGTCATACAGTAAAAAATTTTTTTTTTTTTTCATTATTTATAATAGTATAGATTATATAGCTATTATAAGATATATTATTAAAGGTATCAATAATATATATGTGTCATTGAAGTTGTTAGAAGCTGATATTTTACATTTTAAATATGTCTCTTTTGTTTGATTTTTTCTGTGTTTGATTATGAAACCCTATCTACTAACATATTAAAACACTGTGCAAAAAGTGATGTTACTTGAACTTATATTCTACTTATGTAGAGCTTTCTAATATTTCATCTTTCCAAGGAAGAGGGACATTATTCTTGGTTTAATTATTTTTTAATTTAATATCTCTGGATATTTTTCATATTTAGTTTGCGTACAACAGTTAACAACTTTAAGCTTATACATTAACTTTAGTTATAACTTAATTATTAATGATTTGATTTATAGATTTTTAAAGCAATACAAGATTGAATTTAGCATAAGGCTAAATTTCTGCTCTGGAGACAAAAAAGGAAGACAGCGAAAATGACCAGTCAAAATAAAGGTTGAAGAGACAAAAAATTGTGTATATCTTAGTGTAGATGATTTATCCACATTTTCTTATAATAAAACAAAAAATATTATTAAACTTTTGGATTTACCTGTAACTCCAAAATTTTTACAGAAGTTTAATGTTTGCTCTGAGAAGTTGAATGAACAAAATTATTAAATGGTAAGTGTCTAATGATTGAAAATCTTTATTCATAGCTTTAACTTTTACAATTTTAAAAACTTTTTCATATATTACGGTCAAAAAGTCAGAGTATTAATTAACATTTTAGTATGTAATAATCAAAATATCAAAGCTTACACCACAGGCTTGGTCAAGAAGCCGGAGCGATTGCTCTCGAATACTGACCACAGAAAATATATTTAGTTGCGAAAAAACTGGCCAGGTTTTTTAGTTGTTTTGAGAACATTTAAGTTTATAAACGTAACAAAAAATTTTTGTTGGATTTTAAAGTTGGTGTCACCTACTTTGAAAACCATTTGAAATCAAATGTTGAAAAAAACAACAGTATTTGTATTTATATCAGTATTCATATCAGTTTAAAGTTTTAACAGTTGCTGGTGATTCATTTTTATTCATTATATAAACGTTTATTTAAATTTATCTAATAGACAAAGGTAATACAATATTTTTATAGATGATATTATTTTTTAAAATAGTGTTATTAAAATTCAGAACTAAAATATGTAAAAAAAATTATTTACAAACATTGGACAAGGTCCGTACTGTACCTTGAAAATCTGGAAAATTTGTTAATATTGGCTAAAGTCGTGGAAAACCTGGAAAAGTCAGGGAATTATTTTTTTCTTTAGATAGTCATGGAAAAATCAGTAATTCTAGTTAAGAAGTTACTCGTTTCACAAATGAATGCTGTATTTTGAAAACGTGTTGAGTCACACTTTTTTTAAAAGTAAGGTTATTTGAAAAGAATATTTTCAAAAAAATATTCTTTTCAAATAACCTCACTTAAAATAAAAGAATATTAAGTTAAAATAAAGATTTTTTAGATAAAATAAAGATTATTTTAGACAAAGTAAAGATTTTTTTATAGAAAAGAAACAATCTTTAGATAAAATAAAAATAAATTTTATTACAGGAGGAATATTTTTCACTCCCTTGTAAAATTTTAATTTTGTGACTTGTCACATTTTCAAAATACAACGCTCAATTAAGCTATAATGTTTTTTTTGGTGCTACCCATTTATTTTTTCTGAAACTTATGTTTTTCTTAGTGTTCATTCTTAGTCGTCATTGAAGTACAACTTGATAAACTACAAAACACATCAAATTCAGTTATAAAAATTTGAGTAACAAAGGTATACTAATTATTGTATTGCCTGAAAGAGTGTCATTGCTATTAAAAGCAGTGAAGAATTCAAGTACTCTGGAAGAAAAGAAAATACGTAAGTAAATGGTAAATATTTTTTTATAATTTTTTTTATGCATTTTGTATGATATCTTAGTACAATTTATATACTTTAAATAAAATACTCTTTGAAGATATTTTGTAAATTACATTTTATATTAATTTAAGTCTAAACAAAAGTTACTTTAATTATTGCCAGGTTGTGTATTTTTGCAGGTCAATTATTTGGTACAAATCGGAGTTAAAGACAAAGGAGATTGTATATTTTATTTGCTAAGAATAGTTTTTTAAAATGGCCTAGTTGTAAAATTAAACAATGCAGGGAGAGGACAAAAAATTGGAATAGAAAAAATGTTGATTGCATATGCTGCTATTGGTAAGTGGTTAAGAAAAGTTTATTTTTTCAGTTTCAATTTTGCATTACTTTTTTTTTTTTGCAGAAACTGTGAATTCAAATAAGCATGGCTTATGCAGACATGTGATAGAGATAGAGGAAGAAAAAATAATAATCGTGGGCACCAAATATCATAAGCTAAACACTATTCAATAACAAGTAGCTCAGCCAATATCGAAACTACTCTATAAATTTTGTAGTGAATTTTTTTTATTTAAAACTCAATGTGTTAGTTTTTGGTTTAACTTTGGTGTTTGCAATATGTATATTTAACCGATAAATTATGTTAAATAAATAAATTTTTATACTTGTATCATACATTCTTTTTTTTCTCTATAAATTTTCAATGTAGCGATGCAAATCATCTTGTTTGTAACAACGATCTAATGTTGCATAAAACGTTAGGCCGATATATAACATACGATATTGGGCCAATGTTGTATACAACGTTGGGCCAATGTTGTATACAACGTTGGGTCAATGTTGTATACAACATTGGCCTAACGTTATATACAACGTTGGGCCGATGTTGGGTAAACGTTGTATACAACATTGGAACAATGTTATACACAACATTGGGCCAATACCTAACCAATGATCAAACCTGGATTGGGCCAACATCGACTTTCAACGTTGGGCCAATGCATCATCATGCATTGGCCCAACGTTGGTTCAATGTAAGCTTGCTGTCTGGGTCTTATTATATATCATCCTAATTTCAAAATAATGTTTCATTTTTTCCATAGAAAAAGTACTTTTGTAATATTGTTTAGGGGAAATATTATTGAAACAAAAAATTTTTTGAAAAATATTATTGAAACAAAAAAATAGTATCTTATTTTAAATAAAAATAACATTGAAAAAAATAAAAAATGATTTTTTTAAGGAGTATAAATTCTTGAAACTTGAAAAAAATACATAATTTTAAGAATATAAGTTCTTTAAATAAGAAAAAAAAAATCTTATTTTAAGAATATAAATTCTTGAAACAAAAAAAAAAGTTCTTATATTATGAATAAAAGTTCTTGAAACAAGAAAAAAAATTATTTAAAAAAAAAAGTTCTTATATCAAGAAAAAAAATTCTTATTTAAGAATAAAAATTCTTGAAACGACAAAATACGTTCTTACGTGGCGGACAAGCCATTTTTTTCTTGTTTTAAGACTTTATGAGGGGGAAGGGGTGTTTAGAACGGATAAAATGCTTTCTCTCTTATAACTACTTACTATAGTTCAATATTCGTGCAAACAAGTAATTAAAAACAAAAACGTTTTTTTTTTTTTTTTCTATCTTCTTTAAAATTTTCGCTTGCGCTAAATACCGCTCTCCTTACTTTATTCCTCGTATTTTCCCCCGACAAATATATAGCTATATATAAATATATAGACAAACATATAGTTATATTTTAGTCTTTAGAAAGATTTGAAGTTATAACTTCTAATCTTTCTAAAGACTAAAATATAACTATTTTGTTGTAAAAATAAAATATTTAGAGTAACTTCATGAAATGTAAAGTAACTTCATGAAATGGCTATATATTTGTCGGGGGAAAATACGAGGAATAAAGTAAGGAGAGCGGTATTTAGCGCAAGCGAAAATTTTAAAGAAGATAGAAAAAAAAAAAAAAAAACGTTTTTGTTTTTAATCACTTGTTTGCACGAATATTGAACTATAGTAAGTAGTTATAAGAGAGAAAGCATTTTATCCGTTCTAAGATACATTTGCAGATACATGCCTATAGGCAGATACATGCCTATAGGCATGTATCTGCAACGAAACTTAATTTCTAGCCACATTTAGAAATACTTGCATACGTCCTAGTATATAAGAAATACATATTTAAGAAGTATATTTAAATATATCAAAGTATACTAATAAATATTAAAATATCTACTATTCATTAAAGTGAAAATTTCAATAAAAAAATTTTTAAATACTGAAATGTTTCAAAAAAGCTTTTTATTAATAAATTCACCGTTTGCGAACATTAAAATACATTTGGCACTTTTTGGCAGCTATTTTTGGCAAATGTTGAAACAATAAGCCTGGAAAAACGTGTTGAAGTATATTAAAAGGTCTTTCGAGCATGAAGACTGAAGAGTCGTATTGTGAGCTTATTTTTGACTATAAAATGATTATATAAAAATAGGGTTTTATAAATATATTACTTTTTCAATGAATTTAATTGAAGTGTGGATATTTAAAGTGATGGTTATTGTAAAACAAAGTATGTAAACCCACATTTATATTCTAATACTATTGTCATGTTCAAAAAACCTTGTTATATTTCACCACGTTTCTCCAGACTGATTTTTATCCACATTTTATGGCTTGATTTATATTCTCAATACATTTCATATACACTCTTGATACAAAAAACAGCTGCCAAAAAGTGCAATGAATTTATTTTTTTGGAATGTACACAAACGGTGTATTTACAAAACAAAACCTTTGCGACAACTTGAATGAAATTTTTTGAAACATATCAGTTCATTATTAAAAAATATTTTGTTAAAATTTTTTACTTAAATGAAATATATTAATTTTAATATTTATATATTAGGGTGGGTCACTTGAACAATTTTTGAATTTAGGTTCGGTTGGCCATTTTTATATGTTTTTGACCATATGAACCTTAGAACTGGTTTTACTTATCTTTTTATTTAATGTTTAGTCAGGTAATTTTCAGCTTAAAAATATTATTTTTATCATAAATGTTTTTTTTGTTATAAATATATCGCTTATTCAACATCTGGCCACTTTTTTACTATTATCAGCATCAAACCACTCTAAATCAAGTCAATGTCTTAAACTACATCTATTTTATCAATAAACGTGTCAAATTCTGATCCTTAATTATAACAACTAATATAACTTTAAAATAAAAAAATATAACTTTACCATAAAAATGGGTAATTAGTAATTTTCAAAATGTGATGATGAGGTATTTCCACAATGTTTTGTTTATGTAAACCAAAATTAGACCACATGTAGCAGTTTTATCAATCAAAAAAAGGAATAAATAATTATACAATAAGTACATGTGTAGTTATTGTATAGAAATAAGTGTAAAGTTATAAATTTTTGGGTCAAAAATTAGTGATAAAGTTAGATACAAATTAACAAAACTAATTGGTACAGGAAAAACGTTTTTAGAGTCAGAACTAGCAACTTTAAGAGATGTTTTAAAACCTCAGAAAAATGTTTATGGCAAAAAGCTAATCCATTTATATCCATTATCTCTGATAAAAAATATAAAAAAAAATAATATATGACTGGACAAAGCATATAATCTGGTTTTATGTAGAAAAATATCTAAGTAGGTCTCTTGATCATAAACTGATCTTATATAAAGTGTTTGACATAGCAAGGTGTCAATGAAGGCCTGTAAAGAGAAACATATAAATAATGTTAAGAAAGAAGGTATATAATGTATAATGTTCGATTACAGAAAGAACCTTACAAAAAAAGTATACCCAAAGGAGATCAAAGAAGATCATTACAGTGTCTGTACTGTGCCTGGTGGAAAGTATTTATTCCCCTTTTTAAATAATGCAGAGGAGAGAGAGGGTTGAATACTTGCTGAACATATTGCTGAACAACTAAATGATTGGATAATAACACACGGTGTTAAAAAAAAATTAGTTGCAATTGGTGGAGGTTTAAACAACCTTAACACAGTTTGTATCTTTGTTTCTTTAAATGGTAGTTTAACATTTTAGATAATAAAAACTGTTATAGGTTGGAGTTGTTCAATATTTAGCGAAGAAAGTATAATTCAAACTAATCGGGATTGTTTGAGCACTCGATATCAATAGATTGCTACTTAGGTATTGAATGTTAGCTTTAGATGGAAATACAGATCAGAAGTTTTTGTACAGAATATATAAAACAATATCACCAGGTGTTCTCCCTGATAATTTTAAGAAGATTCATATTGGCCAAGAAAATCTTTCAAGATGGTTAAATCTTGCAAGTAGATTACTTTGAATCTGGTACTCCGAGCATGGTTTAGAAAACAAAGATCTAGAAAACTTGAAATTGTTAGCAGAATTCATTGTGGGTACTTATTCTGTTATGTGGTTTGAGATTAATGGGATAAACTTAGTTAGGTAAAAAATGGAATACAATAATTTACTTAAATACTACAAATTACTTTAATAATTGTAATAAAACTATAATTCAAAAAAAAGTTTCATTTTAGATTAAACATAGTTGGATTCAGGGTTCACGTCACATCCTTAAACAAATAGCCTTAAGATAAAATCAGAACACATTTGTGAGTGATATTGTATTACCGTATATCTATTCCTCTGCATGAAATGCACATAATTATTTTTGTGGGCATTCCATGCAGATCTATTTTTCAGATTCCATGCTAATGTATTTTAGAGATTATGCTCTGTAGTTCAGATGAAGGAGAAAAAAGATTTGTAGTGCAGAAGATATTTTATGTTAGAAAAAAAAAGGACGTTGGAGACGTAAATGTAGAAATAGCAGAATTCCGGTGATAAACACAAAAACAAATAGTTTAATAGGTTTAATCAGTTGAGAAACAGAGAAGATCAGTGAACCGTTTCTTACTTGTTGTTTGATGAAAAGTGATTTTATACAGTTTATTTACATTGCAATGATTGTATCAAACTTCCCTATTCATGGTCAATCTATTGAACAAATTATAAAGGAGGTCGCCAGCACTTTAATTTCACGCGTCACATAGTGTTAAGTTGAATAATACAAAATAAGAAATAAGTTTATAAATAAAGAAGCATTCACCATAATGAATTGATTTTTTCACAAGATATCGACTTTTTGTTTATATTATAATTAAAAGAAAAATATTCGGTATTTATTAAAATACAGTTTATCGTATTTTTTTCACTTCATCCGGACTAGTTCCAGACTAAACCGGAAAACTACATAAATCCGGATGATTTTATTCAAAAAACAAAAAGCACCATTATTTTATAGAATTTTACTAAATATATCATAAACTCAATTTAATAACAAACAATATCATTAAATATAATAAACAAACCTAACAAAGTTCCTTAAGGTTC